TGAATCGACCACCACCTGCACTTCGTCCAGAAATACCACCTGCAGCCGCTGAATTACAAGTGAACATAAATCCCCCAACGAAAATGGAAGTCCTGAACGCCATAAAGCTACTGAAATGCGGGAAAGCAGCAGGACCAGATGGAATACCGCCAGAAGCACTGAGAACAGATGCAGAGACAACAGCGGACATGCTCACACCACTATTGCAGAAGGTGTGGAGGGAAGAGAAGGTACCTGTCGATTGGAAGAAGGGTTACCTTGTCAAACTGCCGAAGAAGGGAGACCTCAGTGCTTGCAAGAACTGGCGAGGAATCACTCTCCTATCCACCCCAAGTAAAATATTAAGCCGCATCATCCTGGAGAGGCTTAAAGACGCACTGGATTCAAAACTGCGACCGGAACAGGCAGGCTTCAGGAAGTACAAATCATGTGCTGACCAAATTGCAACGCTTCGTATCATCATAGAACAGAGCGTAGAATGGCAATCAGCTCTATACCTCAACTTCATCGACTTTGAGAAGGCCTTTGACAGCGTCGACCGAGAAGTAATTTGGAAACTGCTTCAATACTACGGAGTACCGCAAACCTTTATCCGCCTCATTCAACAACTATATGAAGATGCCACATGCCAAGTAATCCACAATGGGAAGCTCAGTGATGCCTTTGAAGTGAAGACAGGAGTGAAACAAGGTTGCCTACTATCCCCCATGATATTCCTTATTGTGGTGGACTGGATCATGCAGCAAACAGTAGGCAGCGAGAAGAGGGGGATACACTGGACGACGGAAAAGAACCTAGAAGACTTGGATTTCGCCGATGACTTATGCCTAATGTCACATAAACTTGAAGATCTGCAGGCAAAAACTAACAAGTTGACAGAAGAGGCAGCTAAGACGGGACTTCAGGTGAATATAGAGAAGACAGAAGTGATGAAGATACCGCACCACCACCATCAACAACAACAACAAACTCCAATCACCGTCAACGGGAGAAACTTGAAGGAAGTAACCTCCTTCACTTATCTAGGAAGCACTGTTTCAACTACAGGCGGGACGGACGAGGACGTCAAAGTCAGAATCGGAAAAGCAAGACAGGCGTTCATTAGCCTGAAACCAGTGTGGGGATCTTCCGCACTCAGCATGTGGAACAAGATACGGATTTTCAACACCAACGTCAAGTCAGTGCTCTTGTATGGCTCAGAGACTTGGCGCGTCACGAAAGGCATTTCCAATAAACTACAGACATTCATCAACAACTGCTTACGCTCGCTGCTGAAGATCAGATGGCCAGAAAAAATAAGCAACAAGGAACTCTGGGAACGAACCAACCAAGAACCTATCACGCAACAAATATGCAGGAAGAAGTGGAGATGGATTGGCCATGCACTGAGAAGGCCGACTGAGGACATCACGCGTCAGGCCCTCGAGTGGAATCCCCATGGGAAGCGACGAGTTGGACGTCCGAGGGTGACATGGAGGAGGTCATGCGAGGAGGAAATGAGAGGTTGTGGGCTGTCGTGGAACCAGGTTCAAAAGATCTCGGAGAACAGAGGTCACTGGAGGCGTGCTACTGAAGCCCTATGTTCCACTAGGAACCCAAGGGACTAATAATATAATAATATAATAGAAGTTTATCCTATGTATATTGCATCACAGTCTGAGCATTTTGTTTTATAAACACAATTAGATTGTGAATCTAGAGGGATTTCGTCCTTCAAATGAAGTAAGGTGCTATGCAATGTGTTTGATGTTCTGTAGAACACTCTGATATTGTATTTGTTGAGCACTCCTAATTTCATCCAATGTATTTGATCTGTAAGGTATGACTGTTGTTGAGACCCATGATTTGTGAGCAGTTTCATGATTTAATTTAATGTTTTTTCTATTTTGCAAATGCATTTTCCTGGATAATTATTCATCTTAAGTATCTTGTGACTATTGGTCTCAGTTGTGTAAGCAAATTTAAACTTCTCAGTTGGGGTCGTCATGACAACTCAGGTAGATGGTTGGAGACTATAGGCTACATAGATGAGAACCGATCTCAGCAGCACATAGACATCTTCATGTTAATCGTCAAACTAAATCCGATTATTGTTTTATATCTTTCTGTTTTTTCTTGACGAATTTCTGGTACTTTGATCTCTTTATTTCTTTATCTTTTATCTTAGTGTATTCTTGCTCATACGAAGTGTGGCAACTTGAACCATTACATAATGATTCCAGGTTCCATTTTGATATCAACTGACTGATCATTGAGTAATGTTGAACATCCAACGCTAGGATATGTCAAAGACTGTTATGAAGATCATGTCTTGCAGTTGAGTTTTTCCAATTTATCAAATGTCTTGGAGTCGACTTTAGGAGTGATCTAAGCTGATCTATACCTTTCTGGATTTAATTCTTCAATGGAGGAGTAAACGAAAGCAAACTTGAGGTGTACCGTACAATACAGCTATAGAATAAATGATAATTTGACTAAACTGACAAGTTTTAGCAATCGTAGTGGAGAATTTCAATATGTCGCTTTAACAATCTACCTCTTTTTTGTCTCACGAAATATTCATGTTATTGAAAAGCCATTAACAGAGTAAACGTTCTCCGAAGTATACGGCTGTGCGGAGAAACGATCAGTTAAGCGAGGTTCTGATTCCTGAAAGTAAAAATCCATTTGTCCGTCAATACACTTTGCTTGGGTATATTTACGTCATCAATCTAGTGCTAGTTAAGTAATCACTTAGGTGAATTTTAACTGTTGTACTGAGTACATACATAGTTACAAAGTATATAGTACAGGAAGATGGAACAAAGGTTTACATCGCACAAAAAGGCATTAGTTCAGTGTATGTGACGCACTTTTCAACGATGAGAAAGAAGAAAGGCATATCAAGTTATTGGCAGAGTAACAGGGGTGGGGAAGAAAAAAAAATAGAGAGTAATAGGATTTTTCATCTTAGGTGGTTTATGTATATAGGCGCAAGTAAAATAATGAAGACATTTTCAGCATTTTGTTACATTTTGAATCATGTGGTGCCGAGAAATGTCTTAGTAGTATTTATTCTTTTCTATCGCTAAATAATTTTCCATGGTTACTAACAAAGTAAAGACTTTTCATTGTAATTTGCAATTTGCTCTTTATATCTGTGTATGCTTATGGTATAACTCACAATCCAGTAGTTCATGATTATTTTGGTTTAAGCACTTGAGATAGTTTACGCATTGTTCAGTTCCTTGAGAATTCGAGTATCGACAGCTGGATTAAGTATTTAAACCCAGCTCTACCCATCTCAGTCTTGGTGAACAGATTGTATCGTAAAACTTGCCTTTATCTCTCTCTTTTTCAATCATTTTGTATAGCTTGTAATCTGATACAGTAACATAAATGTCGTTACTGGGTTATCTTTGTCCCAGTTACCCAAATAATGATCTAGAATATGTACTTGTCAACTGAGTATTTGAACGTGCTTGTGATTTCTGAGGCATTAAATCGATTTATATCTTCTCAACATATTAGATTATCCAATAATATTAATGCTAGGGATAATTATTATCACTGTTTTTCATCATACTTTCATGAAGCGATTGTGTGATGAACTTATAGATTCACTGTTTCATCAATGTACTATACATTGTAGTTAAGCAATCACCTGATAGGTAACAGGATCCATATTCTACATTTGATGAAATTGTGTGTAGAATATAATGAAAGTGCATCAATGTTTGTATATGTATGTATTTAGCCTTATAGATTTGGTTTACTATCTGTCAGCTTTGCAGAAATTGTATGGTATGGGCAATGTTGAAGTCAAGCGAAGGGTACTAGACAAGATAGGGAGGAGGTCAATTGTTGAGGTGGCTTGGACATGTACGGCGCATGCTGAGTCACCACCTGCCTCGAAGTGCCATACTATGGTAAGGTGGATTCGGTTGGAAGAGGGTTCAGAGTGACCAGACGAAGACTTGGCACCAGTTGATGAAGTCCTTCACTGCCGGTTTGAGTCATGTTGGACGATGAATATTGTCTGTTGGTGTCTTAGAGGTGGAAGGATTCAGTGGTTGAGGAGACTGTTGGTGAAATTGCTGAAATTCAGTCACAGTGGTGCAGATATATTCAATCCTTGATATCTGAAGATTGAATATTCGGAGTAACTGGTATCTTCAGTTTGTTTATTCTCTAACACGACCTTGTCTTCTTTGATATCTTTGTTTTTCTATCCACCTGTTCTTTGTGTGTACTACTGTGAAGGGTGACAGCTTGAGGTGATGTACACATGTGCGAGTTTCTACGTTGATTCTGCCTGTCTGATATATGCAGAATGAAACAGAATAATCAGCAGTATGGTGAATTTTCCTCTTTCTTTCTTCTCTTTATGTAAAGTGTATTGTCATTTTATTCAAGTCAAAATGTAATGCCTATTCAGACATTGAATCATTTTAAGCCACAAATTATTGACACTGGTGTGTACTTTTTATGCTTCATCTTGCAGTTGGATTTTTTTTCTTCAATAAATGTCTGTAGTGTATTGTATCTTGCCCGGATCTAAAGGTTTTTAAAAATCTTAAATAAGTGAAGAAATTATGAAACCGATAGAAATTCTATGTCAGCGAACATTACGGTTGGTTTCCTTGTCCTTCACCCACCCACCCATACACATACACACAGAGAGAGACAGAGAGGGGGGTGGGAAGGGAAAAATAGCTTAGAACCTGTTTTGGGTGTTGAAATATGAAACACAATTACTTGCTTCCTCCGTTCTTCATTTCCATTCTTGTTAGAAGTGAACTACAAATCAAGAAAATTTTGATTTATATTACTCATACCCGTGTTATCCATTATCACCTCCAAATATTAATCAAGATTTACTGCTTTGATTTTAGGTGCAACTTGGTTACTTTCAAGGGTGTTTTCTTCTTGTGGCGATTTTAAAACCTAAAGTGTTTTGTGAGATTTATATCTTATTTTATATTGAACATTATTCGTTTACGGGTTTATCTGTATTTCAGACTAACGCCGATGGTACATCATCGCATCCACATGTTGGTGTAGGAGATTCTGTTAGCCTTTTTGAAAATCCTGAGGGTTCTATCAGTGGAGAGTCTGGCTCATCAACAAGACCAGTACAAAATTCAGTACTTGATTCAGTCAATTCTGGTATGTGCTTCGGTTATTACCTTCTTGTTTCGATTGTTTCAAATGACATTCTCTCCTCATTTTGATTGTATGCTTTATGTATTGTTTGATATGTCTGTGTTAAGTGTTGTTTTACGCATGCATGTAACACCTAGTGTTGTTCTCATTTATGTATTGTTTGATTATGCATATCGATATCATAGTTTCTATGAATATTTGCGGATTTTACTTGACGCTGATTAGCATATTCTTTCACTGATTACAGTGAATGGGGCTAATGGTTCTGAATTGTTGGTGTAGCTGTATATAGCTGTCTCTATTTTTACGCGGTACTGTGTAAACAGATGATCGGTTAGACATGGATATGCGTTCATTTTTCTATGCCCTTAACAGCTACTTTCCTTTCGCCCAACATTATTTATTCTATCTTTGTAATATAAAGTTCTGATTTGACCAGACTAATCATTTAAGAAAAATTATTTCCAGAAGTTTTGCTACGGCAATCAAGTGTGTTTATCGAAAATCAAGCAGTTGATGAATTATATTGTGGTTCCTTCTCATCTCCATTATTTACCAATGATATTTTGAGCACAAATTATTGATCATAAAAAACAGTTTAACTGGTTTTAATTTCCGTTCATTTACTTGTAATTCTTCGTTGTTATAATAGACGGATTTGTTTGACTTCTGTTGACATATGAAATCCTATGCGGATGCCTCGGTATTGTCTGAATATTTGTTATGATAATTTAATTGATTGTGGCTAGCAGAGGAACCCAGGACGCGCGCTTCGTCCTTTTGTCGACTCGTCAGCTGGATGTACTTCCACCCTAGTGAGAGATATTGTTCCCACTAAGACTCGAAACTCGTACCAATCGCTTCGAACGCTAAAGTGTTATGCACTGGTCTGGTCCAGTAAGACATATTAGCCATCTCTTGTACAACAGGCATTAGTTATCACTACCTGTTGATATACTAGTGGGTAGCGCTTTGGGGTTGAAGCGATGAGTACAAGGTTCGAGTCTCCTTTGAGAACAATATCACTCACTGTGGTGGTGATACATCCATCTGAAGAGCTCCAAATGGGACAAAAGGCACATCCTCGATTCCTCTGCTAGCCAGAGCCAAGTTTAACTGGTACATGTCATGTTATTCAAATTGTGGCAATCCAATGGAAACATCGTATTTGAAATTGACTCCAATACATTCAACTAAACGAATGTATACAACTAAACAACTTCATACACATCCGTGCATCAGACAACGATCGACACCTATTGTATGAGTATGAGTTGAATATTGAGACTAACGAACCACATTTCTTGAAGGATGGTAGGTTGTAACTTTTAGGGTCGTTCAAGGGGTACAGCAACAGTGATTATACCGAAGTGTAGATTGACTGACAAAATCAACATAGAACTTTGGATATAGGTGTGTTGACTCAAGTTGTCACACTTTACAGTGAGAATTTTCGAGCTTCAGAAGATGTCAAGAAAGGAATGCATCTATTCCACTGTGACTGGTTTTCAACCATTTCACCAAGACTTCTTGACTACTGATTCATTTCGTCTCAGAGACACCAGACAGTCCTACACCTCCTCACACGGCTCAGACCGGCAGTGACGAGCTTCATTGACTGGTGCCACGCGTTGGTCTGACCATCCTAAAGCCTCTTCCAATGTAATCCAACTTTTTCTGACATGACACGTCGAGGTTGGCTGTGGATCCGGATGCTCAACACATGTTTAAGCCATGTCAACTGACTAAAATTCACAACCTGACCGACTAACTTGCCCTTCTTGCCTAGTACCCTTCATGAATGAATATCAGAAGTATGCATCATTTATGCGAAGTGATTAGATGATAACAAATTGAGTTATATTCCGGAAATTTGAATGGGAAAGCATACTACTTAGAATAGCTTAGTCTGCATTAGAAACGATATCTAATGATTATATTTTTGAATAATTCTTCAAGTTCCAACATATGGAGGTTTTTGTTGGTCAAATAGTACCTAGTGGATGTAGTTGATGAAATAGTATATGAGTTATCAATTTATTGAATCTGTTTTTATCAGTAATCATATATAACTGAAGGATTTTGATCCGTTTGAGTTTCCCACTAATATTTTCACCATAGAGCGTAAAAACAATGTTTCATCTGTGACGTAAAGTCGAGGATATTCATTGTTTAGGTGTTCTGGAAACAGGATACATTACTTCCTATTTTTGTTCTAGGGTTCTGATAGTCATTTGGTTTTCGTTTGTTTGTTACGAATCACTCTAGGTAGGTAGATAGGTACCTAGATTCTGTAATAACTTATTTCACATATGAACTATAACTTTATCTGTTAGTGTTTATTATTTCTCAAATGATGCACCTGTTACCCTTTCATTTTGATCTCTATTTTTTCATTGTTTCCAGATGTTCTGTTAATTGTTTCGTTTCTTTACTTATTAGTTTTCTTTATCATTGTTGCCATTGCTTTGTGTAAGGTATATATGGATAACTGAATTCTATGGGAACGTTTATCGAATAGTTAATTAATTGATTCATATTACTAAGGGGATGAATATTACTGAAGAAAAAGATAAGGATCCACTATCTAGGTTTCAGTAATTGCATTTCTGCCGAATATGCTTTGCTTTTTTGGTAGACAAAATAAATTGGGAAGGAAAATTACCTACCTAATGTACACGAACTTGATTTTAACTGTTTCAAGGTTAAACTTATGAAATCGACCATTCAAAATAAGGACATTGTGTTAACCAATCAGATTTCTAGTTGAGATTTCAGCTTCACTTACCTTTTTTAGAAGTTGCATTGAAAATGATCATCAGTTTGACAAGGTGATATCCGCATCCGTTACTGCAAAATTAGATGGTACTTTCAGGCAGCTTAAAAAGCAAATAGATCACAAGGAAAGAAGCTCAGCAACCAGGCGAACGCTTGTGGAGTAGGCACTGAGCTATATCTGTTGTGTGTTTTCGATGTTTTTACTACCAGATTGCGTAGTAAATAACACTTCATTTAGTTTAAAAAAGACGGTTCTGTTATTGGAAGTAGAAATGATAAGATGCATCAGTTAATCACACCTTCCTGATTATATGAGAGAAGATAAAAATGAATTTGTACATGACTTTTGAATGTTTACTTTAATGCCTACTATATAAGTTGTTCCACTGGATAGTACTCTTCACAATCAAAGTTTATATCTTCCGCTTATGGTTAAGAATAACATCTCCTTCTGATTGGTTATTTCATAAGATAACAGAATGAAAACTTCTCTAGGTGCTCGTTTTTACTCAGTTCCATTGACTACAAACACCTTTGATATATTTCCTCGTTGAATTGACATTTCTAAAACTTCTCATTGACCGATTCAACCTTGGTCTGTCGGGATCAGGTTGTAACTTGATGAAATTTATCTAGCAATGATTTTTTCGTGATATTTTACTTATCTACCAGTCGATAATTTCTCATTTGAATATTAAGCACCTATTGTCTCATTTATCGGCTTATGTGCTATGGTACTTGTGGCTTTTGGCGAAGAGACAAAGCTGTATAGTCATTCGGGACGAACTGTTGCCGGTTCAAGTAGTCACACCGCCGCAAGACGTGTAGTTTGGTGTAATAATCGCCTTATTGTTTGCGTGGATTTGCATTACCTCTTATGAATTGTTCCGAAATATGTGATCTTGTTAAGCTACGGATAAAAGGTATGACCTGCTCGTTTTACTTTGAGCAATAAATCTTAGCATATGGAAGAGGAAAATCAAATGTCATGAGCAAACTGTTCTTTTATTGCTGATCAATATCATGTACAGTAATAATGGATAGTGACCAGCAGTGGAATCCAGTACGCGTGTTTCGTCCTGCTTGGGACTCGTCGGCCGGGTGCACCTGCCTCCTCCCTGTGAGCGATGTTTTAACCACACAGGTGACGTAAAAACTATTCTCGTCGCATACGAAGTGGGGGTCGTGACTTGGTTGCCTGGTGAGTGGCACTCTAGCGTTTAAAGTCGTCAGTTCCGGGTTCGAGTCTTTGTGGGAGCATCGTCGCTCACTAAAGGGCAGATACATCCAGCTAATGAGTCCCGAATAGAAAGAGACTGGTATCCTGGATTTCACTGCTAGCCAATCTTCATCACTACTATAAAATTAAAACACATAATATCGTGGCATCGACAGAGAAGCCCATATGCCAACATAAACCGATCAGTTCTGTCTAATCAATGACGGGCTAATCCAAGAAGCAACATGTTAGAATTTACCTCTAAACAAATTTAATTTTCGTTTTATATACTCTTTTTGTTGGATATCCATCCTAATCATTCGAGAACATGTCAGCTGATCAACTCTCACTGTCTTAATTTTCTTTAATACTACACAATTCTAGTGTTCTTCTTTCAATTTCTAATAATACTTGAACCGTGTCCTACAGATTCTACATGTGAAGCTTGCTAGATTTGTGCATTGCAGCCTTAAATAAGCGTGTATATGCTTGATAAAAAAGCCAATAAAATAACACATTTACTATATCCTTTAAATATCATTATTATCGCCTTATCTAAGATCGTTTAAGGAAAACAAATATGGGAAATGTTGTTTTGCTACTCAATCAGCTTTATGAAAGGCTGCTTTCGATTTTCTTCGTGTTAATGAACACTCAAATGCTTTAAGAGTGTTTACTTAAAATATGTTATATTGTTTTGTAGACTGCAGTCGAACTGTACTGAACAACTTTATGCACATTTGTGTAGTAGGCAGTGAGTCATACCTTCTGTGTGAGATCTAATGACTGATATTACCTGACAGCCCAAACCTGGGTAAGCTAGGTGTTGTTTGAACCCATGACGCACTGGTTAAGAGTCAACCGCCTTAATCGGTGAGTTCATTACAGCTCCACAAGACTACAGTCACATATATGTAGAGCTGTGGCTCATTGGACTTAAGCAGATGACTTTCAGCCAATGGGACCATGGGTTCGAGACCCGCCCCACTTACCGAAGTTTAGGCTG